TCCAGATTGGACTATTGTAATTCTTTATATATTGGAGTTCCTCAGAAACATATCACCCGTCTACAATGTCCAAAATGCAGCTGCACGCCTCCTCAAAGGAAAACGTAAGTTTGAACATATTACACTGGTTCTGATCTCGCTTCATTGGCTACCAATTAAGTTTCGAATAGATTTTAAAGTTTTGCTTTTTGTTTTTAAATCATTACAGAATTTATCTCCCCAGTACCTATCTGAATTGCTTCACCCAGAAATTAAGTCAAGATCACTAAGATCGGGGGATTCGAACTTCCTTTCTGTCCCCAGGACCAGATTAAAAAATAGGGGTGACCGTGCTTTCGCAGCTTATGGACCCAAGCTATGGAATAGCCTACCCTCAAATATCAGATTTGCCCAAACTCTGACACTTTTTAAAACCTCTTTGAAAACGCACCTTTTCTCACTAGCTTTTAATATACCCTGATGAGTCCGTCTTTCTCTCTTTGATGTGTACTTGTTGGTCTTGTGCATGTATTGTCTACCCTTTTTACTGCTTTGATAAGCACTTTGGTCAACACCAGTTGTTTTTAAATGTGCTATACAAATAAACTGGAAATCTTCCTCCTCTAATGTTCCCACCCGATTCCTGGTCCCATCATCTTCGCTGGTTCTGTCGGCTCCACCGGTGTCGCCCTTCTCCTCGGCTCTACCTGCGCCTTACTCTGTGTGGCCCATCGGATTCGCCTCGGGCCTCCCGATCAACAGCTCGGCATTAGTATGAGGATTCCCCGACTTCACCTCAAGGCTCTAGGCCCATGTCTTCACCTCGGTCTGTCAGCCCATTGGCTCTGCGCCCCCTCGACTCCACCGTGGTCTGTCAGCCCAAGGACTCCTCCAGGCTTCCTCATAGTTCTGGCTCAGTCAGTCGCCGACTATAATCTCGAGGCGACCCTTTACCACCCTTTACCCTTTCGGCTCCACCAGGCTCTTCCGGCTTCCCTGTCATCCTCACTCCCGCTGTCGTAGCCACATTCTGCTGAGCTCCTGTCTCCGCCTCGGTCCCATATGCCAGCAGCTCCACCTTGGGCTTCTGGGCCGTGGATATCACTGTGATCCTTCATCCTCTCCATACTACATGCACCCTGGTTCCACCTTCGTCAATCAGTCCCTGGGTTCCAGCCAGGCCTTCAGTCCATGCTCCTCCCACTGTTGGCTCCACCATGGTGTCTCTCTCCACTGACTTCTCTGTCTCCACCGACTCCTGTCCATCACCAGCTCCACACCCACCTCCTACTGTAACATGTATGTTCTGTCTCTGCTCAGTTTCTGTGATTCTGTTTTCCTTAGTTCACTAATTAGTCTCATTGGTTGTTAATTAGTTTGCCACAGCTGTTCTGTTTCTACTCTGATTACCTCTTGTGTTTATAAGCCCTGCGTTATCCTTTATTCCTTGGTTGTGTTCTCCTGAGTTGCATTCATTATTAAAGACTATTAATTCCTTAATCTCCTTCGTGGTGCAAATTGTGACTACAGCCACCCGTGACAGGTAGCTACTCTGTGGAGTTTAATTGTGAACAAACAAGTTTACATGTTCACATTCATTTTCAAGCTCTAACTAATATGTGGAAAGCATTTCCTTTCCCATTAATGGTAAATGATTATCGTAATAAATCTCGCTATCATATTATATGAAAAATATTGTTATAATCCAGCCCTATGTCTGAATCAGAAGTTATTGTTGTGTTGTCAGTCTCCCCTCTTCCCTCTCGACTCTGCAGTTTGCCACGCCCACTTTTGTAGCATTTTTAAAACGGTGGTGAGAACTAACTGGTGCTGAAACAGGGGGGTTCATGCCTCTTTAATAAAGTATTAAAAAGAGATTGTTCAGGGACTACAGCATGACACCTCAGATCAGGATGAGTGTGATGTATGCTAGCTGTACTGTACTCCGGAGTGGATCTTCGCACCATAATCAGCCCCTGTGATTAGCAAAGCCTTGTGCTATGACTGATGCTGTATAAATAGCTCATCCTGCATTTGGGCTGATCCGACCCCTAATGCCCCGACTTTGTTAACACTGTCGACATGCCCGCTATCCGGTGAAGAAAAGGGGCCGGCAGGACCCCATCCTGTGGGTGTGTGTGATTTATTACAGCATTAACCCAGACAGAAGAGTTAGGGAGAGTGTTTGACATCATTCAACCAGACAGAAGCTGTGAGAAGGTCATTGTGCAGTGAGGTTGGGATTGAGAGGGAGGTGTGGAGGGGGTCAGATATGGAGGTTCTCGGAGAGCAGGGGGAGCGTGGAAGCGGTGTTCACAGTGTGGTGGGTTGTGAAGTTGTTGCTGAGGAATGTCTACAAGAGGATGCAGAGGAGGTTCTGAATGCGGTTTTGGATGAAGGTTTGGAAGAGCGGGCGGATGCCATTCGCTGTCAGGTGAAGATCACCACGCGTCACAACTTGCAGCTCCGCATGGCCAACTACACAGCACGAGACGTATATGTGCGGTTGCTTGGCCATGGAAACCGCATCTCAGGAACCGGTACGGAAGCTTCCAAAATATGGTTAAAATGATGATTCCTACTTGATTTCTTCATTGACTAGCAACCTTGCATCATTCTTAAAAATTAAAGGAATCGGTCACCCCAAAATACAATGTTGTCTTTTTGAACATAACATAGAAGATTATTCTTTAATGGCAGCTGAAAAGTCTTGATCCTACTTTGGTTTAACTTGCCAATAATATAATATAATAAAATAATGACCAAAGGGTTGACAAAAATGCACGTATTAAGCCTGATTAAGCCAACACTAAAACATAGAAAATGAATAACTAAACCAAAGGAATTCACAACATTGTAGTACAATAGTGTGGTCATTATAATGTTATTTCAGGAGCTTTTGTTAAATGTTGGGATTTTTTGTTAAATGTTTATTCAAATATTTTTCAGGTATTCATTTCCATTTCGCGGATATTATTTTAGATTTACATTAGAGTATAATTGACTAAAATATAATCTGACTTAATTTAAAGGATATTTTATCTAAAGACAAAATCTATGACACTGCTGGGGAAAATTTTAGATGTAAACCTGAGTGATTGGGTCCAAATTAAATGATTAAGCGTTATGGGGGTAGGGTTAGTTCAAATTAAACTCTGTGGCTTATGAATTAACAGTTGGGTTTTTTTTTTTTCAAATAAAAGCTAGGTTGCAATCATTTTGCACAGGCAATTAACAATTTTCTTCAGAAAATGGAAAAATCTAGTTCTTTGTCATTTGAGTGGAGGGCAGGGGATGTCTCATTTTGTGCAAAATGACATCGTTTTCTTTTCTTTTTTAACATCTTTCACATTCTTTACAAAAATCACCCTCATATTAAGTTATTGTTGCATCTTTCTGTTGCCATGGTAGCCATGATGGCCTGTTGCTAGTGATGACTGTTACATCCTCCTGGGCTAAATGGCTCTCTATGTCGCCATGGTGACATCTTCTTTTTGCCCATGCCTGCATCTACTTGCTTAAGTGTGTTTCTGTATAAGGTGTTCAATAGATAACTCATGATTATCCTATTAGTTTGACAAATATTACATTTCAGGCACTGTTAAGTGGCTGTCAATGCTGATGCCCTGAAATCTAGTACGCCCTATCAATTATAGATCATTTAATTACTAATTGTGGAATTAATGCTTTCAATCCAACGATCTAGTTTCTATGTGAAGAGACATGAATTATTTTTCAATAGCAGTTAAAATATCATTTGGAAATGAGAAGATATGTTAGATGGCATTACAGAGGTCTGTGTGTGTTAGAGAATAGTTGCATGGAGAAGCATCGACGTCAGTGGTAACTTAGCCGGGAGACTTGTCTTAATCCACACTACCCAGGCAGCTGGGTCTATATTTAGACGGGACTTGTCTAAAGAACACAGGCTGCAGCCGTGCCTTTAAACTGCTGTATAAACACATACGACATGCACACTACAAGAGCAAAAGCTTTAAACTGTGGAATAGTTTGCAAGCCACAATGACATAATAACATTTTAGTTAGCTCAAAGGATGTTGTGTACAGTGAATGTTATGAATGTGTGTCATTCTTGGGTCATTTCTGTGTATATATATATAAAGGTTTTCCAATGTCAGATTCTAGCTATTATCCATATTACTATGCGGTAACAGCCTTGAAATAGAAAATAGAAATTCATTAATCTAAACAGAAACAAATTCTTGGTAATTTTTTTAAAACTCTATTCATTTTAACGATGATGAATGGATATGATGAATTTTATATATATAGGAATAAATATATTTAAAAATAAAATGTTTTATTTGAAAAGTTCTTTTGCATTCCACTCTTAAAATAGTTGCAAATCTATCAAATAATGTGACTATGTTCAAGTCAACAGTGTTTCTTTTTCGTTCTCTTTGCTTTTATAGCGTTTTTCACAATATGGAAAGCTGTTATTTCAAGAATGCCTTAGTGCTTTACCATGGAGCAAGCTAGGGCTGGGCGATATGACAATATAAAATGACGATACAACATCTGTCCTTCGGATAAGACGTTAAAACCAAGATCCTGACTCTCTGTGGTCATTAAAAATCCCAGGATGTCCTTCGAATTTTTTTTTGGCAAGTCCTGGCAAAATTTGCCCATTGGCCTCTGTCCATCCTCATGGCCTCCTAATCATCCCCATATATACTGATCGTCTTCATCACTCTGTCTCCTCTCCACCAATAAGCTGGTGTGTGGTGGGCGTTCCGGGGCAATATGGCTGCCGTCGCATCATCCAGGTGGATGCTGCACATTGGTGGTGGTTAAGGAGATCCCCCCCTTTCCATGTAAAACGCTTTGAGAAAAGCACTATGTAAATGTAATGAATTATTATTATTAACAAGTGATCCTCACGATTTTAGATCTAGCTATAATAATAGCTCTCCTGACAATGACCCGTATGTCCTTCAGGAAATGTCGTCGGAATGCTGTGAATTTTTAGTGACTAACACAACCAATTGTTCACTCCGCAGGACTCTCGGCTTTGAAAGAATCTGTCCATCTGTCCCCACTGAAAGCGTCGGTCACTCCTGAGGAAGCAGAGGTAGAGGAGAGGGAAAACCACGGTCAGGGCAGACGAGAAGACGAGGCAGCCAATAGGACGAGAGCAGATGAGGAAAGGAGAGAGATCCGTGTAGACAGCGAAGAGGATGGGTGCAGCACCCTCACCATATCTGACACGGCGTACAGCCCGTGTGCCAGCATGGTCCCGACGCCGGTGGAGGAGGGTCAGGGCGGCCTAGACCTGCTGTTCCAGAGTCCCGCGCGCTTGCTGAAGGAGCTGCACGCGGATCCAGAGATGCAGGTGGAGCTCCGGGCGGAGAGGGAGAGGGAACTCGCCAGAGAGGCGTTTCGGCAGTCGCTGTGTAACCCGTCGAGCGGGCGGCACCAGATCCAGGCCTGTCTGAGCAGTGCCGCACGTTTGGTGGTGATGGCCATCGGTCTCCTCGTGATTCTTCTTCCCCTCCTCCTCGTCCTGCTGGAGTCGGATCTGGACATCTCCTTCTTGCATGACATCCGCCAGACGCCCGAGTTCGAGCAGTTCCACTACGAGTACTACTGCCCCATGCGACGCTGGTTCCTCTGCAAACTCGAACTCATAACGGAGCGGCTATGGGGCGACTGAGGCTCACCGTCCTACAGGAACTACAGGGAACGGGGGCGGGAATGAAATGGAATGGGCAGGTTTGCTCTCCTACATTACATGATTTATTCATTCACATCTTTTGCAAATCATGCCAATACGTTTTCATAGCGGCAACTGAGGCAGTGTCCCGGCTGTAGTTTTATAAGTAGCATTAGAGAACAGCATGTGCCTATTCTCAGATAGTTCAGTCAACTTCATGAAGGGCGAACGAAAAGCACAGCTCGAAAAGAAATGCATCTTACATTTCAACATTGATAGTGGATATGTATGCCTTTTCAATATTTTCCATTCATTTCATATGCCTGTTAAAAAAAAACGTATCAATCAAGGGTCCAAAATTAACTTTTTGTCCAAAATTAACTTTTTGCCTTAGCTGTCAATAGTGGGATTCTGAAATCTTCAATGGAAAAGAATACTGAATCCCTGTTTCCACAAAAATATTAAGCAGCACAACTGTTTTCAACATTGGTAATAATAAGAAATGTTTCTTGACACTGAAGACTGGAGGAATCAATGATTTTACAAAAAGAATCAATTCTTATCCTAGACTCTTTTGAGTTGACTCCCCATCAGCTCAAGCATCACATACTAGTGAATCTCTTTGTAAGCCAGCTCTCACCAAAAAATCTAGACCCATTACGACTTTGTTCCTCATATTTCTGTTTTGCTGGCTTAACGGCAGGAATGTGACGCACCATGGCATCCTAGTTTGATTTCTGATGGCAAATTTGTTAGAAGAGGCTAAATCTCTTCTTTTCTGTAGTCAGTTTGTATATCTCTTTGATTCGCTTATATCAGTGAGGGTCGGAAGGTATGGAAGCTTGTTTCCGCCATGCAATAAAAAATAAAAATAAAGGTAATTCCGACTTTTTATCTTACACTTTTTTTCATGCAATTCTGAGTTTATATCTCAAAATTCTGAGAATAAAAATGTCTGAATTGCGAAGTCTTGAATAAACTCACAATTCTGGCTTTTTTATGGCTCATATAAACTCAGAATTGCAAGTTACAAAGTTTAAATTGTGTGATATTAACTCGCAACTGCAAGAAAAAAGTCAGAATTGTGAGATAAAAAGTTGCAATCACCTTTTTAAATGTTTTATTCCGTGGCGGAAACAAGCTTTCATAAGAAGGTCACTGTTAAACGATGCGTAAGGTTAGCCAAACTGGCCAGTTAAACACTCCTTCATCAAAGACAATTTTTCTATTCACATTTGACGCTTAAGTTCATTTTGGACCCTTATAGCAGTTTCCAAGTGAAATCCTGTACACTCATATGAAGAGTCCATATCAAATGATTTGATGTCTTTGACTCAATCAACCTCCATAACAACACAAATAATGCAAGTCAAAATGTAGAAGAGGCACAGGCAGGAAATGAGCTCGGTCCCGCTTCCCTAAATCGACTTATTTTTCTTAAAAATCAAATCAGCTATTAAAGACAAGCAGATTTTGACCTCATAACACTGTATTGGATTAAACGTTCTCAGCCTCTCACAGAGCAACACACACACACACACGGATATGAGAGCGAGGGCAAGCTATACATGCTAAAACTTAATATCTGTTTTTAAAATTTTATACATTTTTATGTGACGCTTACAGTTAGTTATATTTTTCAGCAAAAAAAAACAACCTAAGTTATCTTATTTAAACTGATTTACACTAAAAAGTAGGTGGTATAGAAGTGAAATATTTTTATTATCACCAATAGTTTACCTTAAAATGCTGTGCTGTGTTTTTTATATAGAATAGCACAAACTTTAAAACAGATTTTAATTTTGTTTTTTCACATTTTCAGATGTCATGAGCAGATGTAACAGCAGGTTGCTAGTACATTTGAGAGGCTCTTATGAAACGGATCACTGTAATCACACAAAATACATAACCAAATTGCATGAAATGCCATAAATTCACCTATTAAAGAAAATGTGTTGTGTCAATATCATTATGGGGAACTCCAAAGATTGAACGTATTGAAACAATGAAAGTGCAGCTAATAAAATTTCCTTTACAAATGGTCCATTTGGCCCCAAAAAAGTTGTGAAATCTTATCTACATTTCATTTGCACAGTTGGCTCTTCTTTATAGTTATCTTTATATATCTTTTTTTCATTTCAGGCCGTATTGATTGTGTAAATTGTATCAGTGAAGGGTTTCAGTCACTCGTGCAGCACACAACTTGATTTTATTCCTTGGGAATTGATCGAATCATGAAATGTATTTTTGTCCCTGATTAACTTCCCTTTGGATAACTTGTTTGGCAAATAGATTTGAAGTTTGTTTTTCTGTTTATTTATTGTTATATCCCCATGCATGCCAAACCAGAAAAAAAACCCTGTGATGGCTTTTTTTTATATGTTATTAAAGAGAATCATTTAAGTTCACCCAAAAATGAAAATTCCCTCACCAATTTCTTGCCCTCATGCCATCCCCGATGTACATGCCTTTCTTTCTTCAGATAAACTTAAATGAAGATTTTTTAAAAATAATTCATCTCTGTGAGTCCATATAATACAAGTGAATGGGTGCCACTCGGTCGACGCTTGAAAAACCACACACAGCGATCGTGACGATAATCCATATGACTCCAGTGGATGAATCGGTTACACTTTATATCGATGGTCCAATTCAGACATTCTACTTACTATAAGTAACTTTGCAACTACATGTCAACATAACTTTCATTAGAGTACACTATTAGGTATGATTGGCATTCTTGGTAAATATGATGAAAGATGGCTGTAAAAATAAATCTGCATTGTTTATCCTGTTGATCTTTTTTATCAAAATATTTGCAAAAAAATCTAACCTTTCATTAAAGTAAAACAATTGAAAGTGGGGGGAAAATCACATATTGAAATAAATGTTTAGAAATTATTATAAGTAAAATATCAAAACCTGACGTCCTCTGCTAGAAATCTTATAATGGGCCGTGTTTAGATCTTCCAGGACAATGATACAAAACAAACATCAAAATCAACACAAAAATGGGTCACTGAGCACAAAATTAAGCCATGACCACTCCAATCCCTTGACCTGAACCCTATAGAAAATGAGTGGGCCAAACTGAAGAGGAGATGCACCAACATGGAGCTGGGAATCTGAAGGACCTGGAGAGATTCTGTACGGAGGAATAGTCTCTTATCTCCAAACTCACCAGGCATTATATGAGAAGACTCAGAGCTGTTTTCTTGGCAAAAGGAGGTTGCCAAAGGTATTGAATAAAAGGGTGCCATTAATTGTGGCCAGCGTGTATTGGAGAAAAATGTTTATTTCATAGAGTTCCCCTCCCATTTTTAATTCTTTTACTTCAATGAAAGGTTATATTTTTGTGAATTTTTTCAATTAAAGATCAAAAGGATTAACAAAGAAGATGTTATTTTCACAGGCTTCTTTGTTCATATTTACCAAGGGTGCCAATAATTCCAACCATGACTGTAAGTGTGTCAACGTCTCTCTCATGATCGCTCGTATGAAAGTAGACCGGAAGCAATGATTGACAGTTAAAAGAGTTTAAAATATTAGTCTTTTTCTTACACCTATCGCTTGGCTTTCACCCATTCACTTGCATCATATGGACTCACAGAGATGGATTATTTTCCTAAAAAATGAGTGTGTTTATCTGAGGACAGAAAGTCATATACATCGGAGATGGCATGAGGGTGAGTAACTGATGAGATCATTTTCATTTTTGGGTGAACTATCCCTTTAAGTAGATGACAATACATAGCATGATTATGTTAGTGTTTCCTTCAGCGCTCCAGGATCAGACTGACGTTGATCTGCCTGACACAGGGCTTTGACCACATCCACATCAACTAATCAAATTAACACGGCTACTTGTGATGCAAATCTGATGTGATGTCACATCTGTTGCTGAGGTGATAGCAAAAGGGCTAATGACACATTTCTGTCAACTATATTGAGTTCTATATAAAAAAACAAAACGCTGATCGCTGATATTTACTGTCTAACAGCAGGTGGCTCTCTCAGGAACGCATGTCAAATACTGAAGGATCTTTAAAAAGCGGTTTATTTTCTGATAAAAAAGAAAAGTAAAGAAAACAAATATGCATATTAGCAGACAGGCATTTATATGGATACGCTATCGCAGAGAAAATATTTGATTGCTATTGTATGTTATTTGGGGCTCATTGTGTGGTTGATATTCCTACCGGCTCATATTTAATCAATATATTACCATTACAATATGTGCATCATCAAATCAATATCAGAATAACGTAACACCTACATAATGCATAAGGTTGTGATTTAGTCATTATTCATCAATGTAAATTTCTTTTTAATTTTTTTTTATTAAATGACATACTGTATACACTACAAGTCAAATCTTGGACACACTTGACAGAATTTTTCATAATATTAATATCATTAGTTAATCTTATGTAATATAATTTATTAACATTAATTTATTCTGATATTTCATAAATATTAATTCATATTAATATTAAAATAAAAAAATAAAATATTTGGACCCACACCCACTTTATATTAAGTGTCTTTGGCTACTACGCACTAATATTTAAACAAATCCTTTGATCCAAGGCACTTTCTGTTTTTACATTGTACTTACATTTAAAAATACCTTACATCTATAATTACACTGTTACCCTCCATAGCAGCAAAAGAGTTTTTAAAACAACACGGACACAATAAGTACAAATAGTTTTTACAAATAAGTGCACAGTAGTTAAAGAGACCTAATATAAAGTGGGACCTTATGTTTTATTAATTTTAAAGGGGCTATATGTAAAATTCAGAAACCCTTGTTATTAGCGACACCGGTGGCCATTCAGTGAACTGCAGCCAGCAGCTTATTGCTCGTACTCATTCACACATAACATACAAGAGACTGAACGTGATTCAAGGCCACGATATAAAAAAAAATTTAATTAGAAGTTGGAAATATCTTTGCAGCGATACACTGTTAGTGAACATCCATACGCCGCCCACGCTGCTGAGAGCGATGTTTAGATGAATATGTAAATATGTGCTGTACGCTTTACTCTCAATAACAAAATAAACGCACAAAAATGACAGCGGTGAGAAAGCAGCAGTTAAGAAAGCATCTTATGTTAGCGATGTGGATATGTTTGCACCAGCTCTGCAATTCACTGGCGTCATGTTGTGGTATTAATACCATCATGAGGTATTAAATATAGAGTAAATATATAGACTAATCTGTGTGTGTTTACACCATAGATATGTATTATGTATATCTATGGTTTACACAACTTTTTTCAAAATGGCGGGTGGTGGTGTTTCGGGTGCGTTCAGCCAATCAGCGTACACTAACGTCACTGG